TATATATATATAATACACACACACTACAATATTAAAAAGAAACTACTCCACAATTTGAATCAAAAGTTTTTTATTTCTTTATTTTCGTTTTTTATTTTAAAATAATTTTAAAAGTCCAACTTAAAACTACTCCCCAATTTGAATTGGTATTTTTTTTTAATATCATTTTTTATTTTAAAATTATTTTGAAACTCCAACTTGAAACTACTCCCAACCAATTTGATTGGTAGTTATTTTTTTATATATTTATATTTTCGTTTTTTATTATAATTAATTATAAATATATATATAGATGGTATTTTTTTATTTTTTATTTTTTTGTTTTTTATAGATATTTAAATTTAAAAATAATAATCAATAACTAATTATGTCATGTGGCTTTTTTTTAGGCTGCCACTTGACTTAAGGAGATGACTTTGTCCTCTCCTTTTAATAATATAAAAAATAAAAAATATAGATAGATGTTAAACTCTACTATATTATTTAATCATTACTAAGTAATAAAAGATTTTATGTTTCTTTTTTCGTGTAAAACTCTAGTTGCGACTAAATTTTTAACAGAAGTGAAGTCAGATAGTCTGGGAGAGCAGTGGGTCCCATCAGTAGGCCTTAGACTCTGTTTGGGTAGCAATCGGTAGGAGGAATCAAATACGCTTGCTTACTCCTATTATTATATATATGAACTGGGGTTCAACAACTTTTCTCTTTCGCTTTCCTACATCTCTGAACAAAAAGATTAAGCATTGGCTGACCTTCAATCTGGTGAGTTTTCATGATTTCTATGGGGTTTTAATTCACTTTTTCTATGATCCTATAATTATTTCTTGCTGAAAAGTCTAGTCTTTGATGAGTTGACCGTGTGATTTCCTGTGGACATAAATACAAAAAAGAAGAAGATCAAATTTGATGTGTACGTGAATATGCTGTAATAGGTTTTTCTCAGAAATGATTATTGATTATGATGAGATCTCAATTTCCGTTTTTATTTTGTGGTTAAGGTTAATTTTGGTGGTTTCTTTTTTTTT